AACCAAAGATAGTCTTGAGTGAGATCTGGAAATAATGGCACGCACGCAAGGCAGGGCCAGCCCGCAATGACGGGAGCTGAAGAAGGCGGTGCTTACGCGGCCATGGGGGAGATGGAGAAAGCAAGTGCATAAACTGCGGCAGGATGTCGGAAGATGGGGAGTCGAGGGCAAAGGCAGGAGGAGGAAGAGGAGGAAAAAGGATAAGATCGCGGCTTACCTCTTTCGCGGGGAGCTGTTCACCCCTCGTTTGACGGAAAAAAAGAGGTTTCACCCTTGGTGCCTTCCAGCATCAATCTAGAGCAGCACGCTGCTGAAGCTTACCCGGCCCTCTCTCTCTCTCTCTCTCTCTCTCTCTCTCTCTCTCTCTCTCTCTCTCTCTCCGGGTGCGTGTGTGCGACAAGGCCCACACACCCACACTCACACTCACGGAGGCACCCACCCACACACTCACGCGGGGTGGCACATGCACGCACCCAGACACGCACACTAACACTCACACTCACGCCGACAAAGCCCACACACCCACACTCACACAGGCACCCACACACACACTCACGCGGGGTGGCACATGCACGCACCCAGACACCCACACTAACACTCACACTCACGCCGGCAAGGCCCACACACCCACACTCACACTCACGCAGGCACCCACACACACACACGCGGGCTGGAACATGCACGCACCCAGACACTCACACTCACGCAGACGTGACCGTGAACGCGCACGCGCACACACACACACTTGCACGAAACCACGCACAAACACGTCACAAACACGCACAAACAGACACGCACTCGCACACACGCATCCACACCCACAGCCGTGCGCACTTTTTTCTTTCCAAGGGCGACGCTAGTGAGATGTCATCTTCGAGCTGACCGGTCCCAGGTAAATTCGGAGGTACCTCCGGTTGCGTTCAGGAGGGCGGCTACCGATATTGTTTAGGAGGGTGGAGGGTGGAGGGTGGAGGGTGGCAATAGGGCGGCGGTAGCACCTACAGGTACCCTTAGGGTCTCGTTAGACACTCCTAACAGTTCCGTTTTCTACGAATGCGGAGTGGTTACATTACTCCTCAAAACCAAAACCTGAAAAAAAAATGTGAGCACTATCAAATAGGGGAAAGATGAGCTGGTGTGTGTATGTTTGTGCGTGCGTTGTCGGAGGGCGCGGTGTCCCGGCCCTCCTCTGTGTGCCAAGGCCCTGCTCGGTCGTCCGAAGCTTGCTGGGTAGTCCCCAAGCTTTGGTGGCTCCGTGTACAGGCCCGGGGGCCCGGGCGGCGCCTCTGCGGACAGGTCCTCGCGGCTTTGCTCCTCGGCAAAAGGGTGCACCACAAGACCTTCCTTTGGTCCACGCAGGCTCGGCGCCCTGCTGTACAGCAGAACACAACCGGCCTGTAGTCGTGGTAGCCGCCGGGTCTGTCCTTGGACGCGATAGTGGAAGGACTGGCGCAGTCCTTTCTACTGCACGCAGAGTCCCTCGTAACCGAGCTATGGGTCAATGTCAAGAGAAGGAGAAACCAGGACAAGAAAATGAGAAGAAGGGAAAATAAAAGAAAGACAAAAAAGGAAAACAAAAAGAAAAGAAAACTGAAGGTCTGACTTGCGCACAGCCTGGCCTGTTTTAATCGGGGAAATCTGACTTGGGGAAATCTGACGGTTTCTGGCCAGCGCGTCGTTTAGTTCTTCTATTTTTCTTCTTGATGTAGCCTCCCCTGCTACACCAGTCACTTCGCGGGAAGGCCACTACCTTCTTCCCCCGAATACAACGTATTGTCATTATAGCTATATTTAGACTGAAAGATGCCTCAACTACAGCTATAATGACCGTACGTTGTATTCGGGGGAAGAAGGTAGCCGTTCAAATTTGAACCCGCTTAGTTCGATAGTCTGGGCGGTCCGACTTTTCGCTTTAGCTCTGCAACTGGTCTGCTTGACAGATCGTCGTGCGGCTAGGCTCCAAAAGACGGGCGACCCGCGGCCGCATCGGTAGGAAGCCTATCACCCCCTTTAGAGGGTCATAGGCCCCCTCCTTGCCATCGGACACGGGCACCCGAATACATTAAGCCTGGGGATTGGTTTTAAAGAAGGGTTAGTGCCTATTGAGATCCCATTATGGGATATCGCATCAGTCGCGGTCTCGTCGTAGAAAACTACAAAAAGGCAGCGACCCGCGACTGTTGCGTTACGATCTCTTTCCTTTTTTTATCCACGCAATTGTCAAAATTCTTTTGAAATTAAATTGATTGATAATTTTGGAATTTAAAGTTTTACTTTGAACCCCTTTTAGTACACGGGGATCGCGGCCTTACTGAGTTCTATAAAAGAGAGATTGTCCTTGGGTTTCTGGGCGAGCGTGTGAGGCTGTCGTGCTGCGAGTAGAAGAAAAACACTGAGGCTGCATCCTCCCGACAGTCTAAGTTTTGTTAGCCTATACCCTCTAGCGCGGTACGTGTGTGTAGCGCTCTAGTGTTGGCTATTGTAAGTGAGGCTATGGCAGATAGGGATGGTCTGCGCGGCTATAGGCCAAGGTACATGAAGTACTCTTGGATGTGGGAGCCGGAGAATGAGAAGGGTACCCTGGTGGAGGTCATACTGTCCTACGGGAAACCGGAAGGGGAAGTGAGGCTGAGAATAAACGTGATCGGTCATAGTGAGCAGGAAATGAGGAGGGATGAGAAAGTGCAGGCGGCCATTACCGAGGCGCTTAACCAGGCGGAGCGGAGATGCAGGCGAGATGGGGTAACCACTGGTATGCGGGTAACGGTCACTTATCACGAAGATGACTCATCTATCGGGACCACTACAAGAGAAGTGCAGCACAATGAAAGGGACTCCGAGGGAATGTCGGAGATGAGTGACGCAGAAGCCGCTCAGTCCTGGCGCGACCGAGAACAGTACGAGGTTGGACCGTAAGGACGACGGACAAGAGGCCAGCTCGATAAGATGCAGAGTAAGTCCAGGAGAGGCTGGACCATCGGGGACGCGCCGCTCGCAGACCACTGGGAAGGACACGAGGCAGTTAGGCACGTACGGACTACGGGTGTCAGGGACCAGTGTGTGAGTGTGAGGGAACGGAGAGGTCAACGCGCAGAAAAAGGCCAGCTTGATCTGGCATCGAGACGAAGCGCGATAGGGCTACAGAGCAGTTGCGTGTGTACGATCTGCGCCTGAGGGGGGGCTCGACTCAGTAGTCAGTTCGAGAGAGGAGCTCAGGCGATGATCACAACCGCTGGGGGGAGCCAAGTTCTGTCGTAGGAACGAAGTCATAAGGTAGTCTTTGAGCGCTTGCAGTAGTGAGAGCTAGCGCGTGAGCCTTGAGAGATCAAAGAGGGCAGCGAACCAGGTGAGGCGGTTACGAGGGTATGCGATATACACGTGGCATGCGGGCTGAAGGGAAAAAGGCACAAGGCAAAAAGAGAGAGAGAGAGAGGTCAACGAAGAATGGTGTGTGCAACGAGCGTCGAGAAGTGGGTAATCAGACTTGGCGCAAATACTCTCAGAGCGGAGGGGAATATCATTGACATCAACGTAAATCTGTGTCTTTACTCTGAGATACAGGAGGGTGGGGCGAGCATGTGTTATGGTTTAGAGAGAGATCGATAGCCAAGAAAAGGAGATTAGGCGATGAGTGATGCTCCTCTCTCTGGCTAGGAACGCTTGAGCCCTGGCATTGACGTTAACCCTTCATTATGACTCTCATCAGTGGCATCATGATGCAAAGGTAAGAAGGAGAGATGAGCGCTGGGAAGGTCAAGAGAGGGCTAGAAGTCAAAAACGAAGAGGACACGTTCGTGGAGCATAAGCAGACAAATGACGAGAGTGATACACACGAGGAACGTGTGAGAAGGCACGTGATCTTCAGTGTTGATTGGTGCTCGCTCGAGCTAGCCACTGTCCGCAGTCATATTCATGTAGGATATGTCTCGCGACCCTGTTCGCCTTGACTCGTGAGTGGAGACGGACAGACTAATACTGCCTAGCGTAAATAGAACAAGGCAGTGAAGTGGCTAGCAAGAAATTGGAAGAAGAGAAGGAGCTGAATAAGTACGAGAAGTACAAGAGGGGGAGGTTTAAGGGCCTCGCCACTAAGTCAGGAGGGGAGGTATACTATTCGTTATACTAACTCAGTTGTTAGTTATCTCTCAAGTACAGAACGGGGCAAGTAAGTACTTCAGCGGCTGGTTCTTTTTTCGTTCTTCGAAGTTTGACCTCGGTTGTCGTGTCATCTCCTTGGGCCCTCCTTCTTCACTATCAGTGCTTGTTTCCTCAGTGATAGTCATCCCCTTCCTCTGTGTTGATAAGGCCAAGGAACGATGTGACTCAGAGGCGATAAGCGGCTTATTACCCGAAGTGTGATCCGTTTTGCCCTGGTATGATCTAATCTTGAGTTTGGTCTTGGAGCATGAGACTATTGCCCTGAAGGTTTCTCTTCTTACAACGGTTGTTACTTACCGGTGACCCTCCTTATTAATGCTACCTTTCCCTCCGATTTAAACAGAGGGTGGAAATAAGGAAGATTATGCATATCAACAGTCAAACCTCCTGAAGGTTTTGGGGGTAATTAGTAATCAGGTAAATCCACTTTCTTTCTACCTTGCTCGCCTTTGGAAGCGTCTTCTCGTCTACATTGATTGTTGAGTGATGTCTGACACAATTTTATGCCCAATTAAGATTCGCTTGATTGACGTCTAAATTGTCCCTCTTGGTTGGACTCCCTGGTCTTTTATTCTCTGCCTGCAAGAACTTTAATGCGGTGCTCGCTAATTCCCTCTTATGTGACGATCTGGCTCGCTCAGTTCGAAATCATAATGTCGTTTCTACTCTCGCTGTTGAGAGGACTCTCCAAGGTAAGAGAACAGGATTGGAGTGGTAAGTTGGGTCTCGTCGGCCTTGCAGATTGAGTTTCACTTACTCTATGGCCTCGTGAGAAACTCAGACCAGCTTCGCATAATGTCGATTACTGGAGTTTAACTGGGATTAAGCGCTATGAGTTAGTATCATGTTTAATCGGAACCCTATGAAGGAGTCCGACTTTCAGCCTGTCATCTCAATCTGACCCTGTTGGCCACAACAAGAAAGGAAGTAAATGAAGTTGAGGGAGATGAGTGAGTTGTCCATCAAGAAGGGATAGCTCGAGAGCGACTTCCAAAGTGTCTTGTCGTTTCTTGCTGTGGTTGAAGGGTTAGAAGCAGACGTTACTATAAGTAGTTCACTGGTTGATAAGGCATGAGACTGATGTGCACAAAAGGGGGCTCGTAGGTACAAATGCTAATCGGGACTATTAATTGCCTCGCGTAATGCATCTCTTTCCCTTTGAATAAACTTGCTAGGTTCACGTTCCTTTCTCGCGTGGAGCACTTTTATGGCCTTGGCGACACCTTAATGATACCTCAATTGATTGTTATGCCTGCATTACTCGAACTGGACTAGCCTATGCGTCACGAAATATTAGTTCTCTCTTCTGAGGCAGTTTGCCTGAATATCAGTCGAGAAAGCTAGGTATTCTAAGCGTTGTAAAAACTAAGAGTCACTCTTTCAAAAGGTTTTATACCGCAGGGGAATAATCATACGCACCCAGAATCGCATGAGCCTGCCAGTGTTAGTATAGTCGCATGACTCAGAGTGAGCGTGAATCCAATGGGTATATGCGTGACCATACGAGCGTGTTGCTATACAAGTCTGTTAGCTCTGTGATAACATGATGAAGTATGATCACTGCATACGTGTGCAAGTAGGGAGTGATGA